CATGATGCCGCTATTTTACTCTAATAATCGGAGCGTCGGGTCAGTCGACTGAGGAAGGCTCAGTCGACTGACCCAGTTACACTGATGTCTTACAGTTGAATCATAGTTCTACTATGTTTATTTATTTTGGTGGTTAACTAAAAAATAATAAATACTAACTTGTAATAAGAACAAACTTCATGTCATATGATTTTTGTACAAACATCTCAAAAAATATAATAAATCAGGCTTACATTAAAAGTTTTGCGATAAAAATTAACCGACCTTCGAAGTTGAAAGAAAAGTAGGGTCAAATTTATAGGCACTTTATCTTCTAACGACGTTTGTTTTAGTAGTAAATTAAAAGCGATAGAATCCGTATATATAGTTTTATTCAAAAACTTATAAGGGTAAAGACGTTGACTTTCAATGTCGATATTGAATCATAATTGTTCCACATATTGTAGTGTATTGAAATATAACATTTAATATTGTTGTTTCATCAAGTTCAAAGGAACTAATACATAAATTAGTAGCCTACTGTTATAGATGACAATCAGCTAACAAAACAATTAACCTAATGGATTTTCCGCTTGGACAATATTATTACCTCCTTAAGTTATGTTATATACATGCTCTTGCTTTCGTCATGAATTATTGATAAAACTACGAACAGTGCTATTTTCCGAAGTGATTTCATTCATTTCATTAAAACATCTGTACGTCCATATTAACCGTTACTATTACAGCCTATTAATGTCATCTACTGAACATAGGCCTCCCCCATAGATTGCCTCATGGGGGGGGATGTTTGCCATAGTTGCGGGTTCGCAACCGCATTTTTTTAAGCCTTGTTGCTTAAGTTTGTACTGCAAAATGTTCCGCAACATATGTCTCGGGACATTCCACGTATTTGTTCAGCGACATTCTGCGCAACGTGCCGCTCCTTTTGTCCCCAAGTAGGTATATCCAAGGCTTGAGGCAGACGCCTCTGCCCATCTCCTGATTTTTTTCCCTCTGTCAACTCTTATGACACCCACGGGATGATTAACGGGATGAGTGAATATCCTAACACCGTAATTACACGGTACAACGTACATATTTAAAATTATCAATTCCGTAAAAATATTCTAAATATGTATTATTAATTTTGTCTCTTCTTAACTTAGCTGATATTACCATCTTTATGCTGATGATCTGCAAATATATACTCAACCACACGTCAACTCGTTAAGTGATGCTATTGCCAGACTTAATATGGAATTAACGAATCTCCACAATTGGTCTCGTAAGTTTGGCATTAGTTTGAACCCCAATAAATGTCAAGCTTTAATAATTGGTAGCTTCCAACAATTGTCTAAGCTGGACGTCAGTTGCGTTCCGCCTGTCACGTTTGATGATTCCATCATACCATATTCTGATAGTGTTAAAAATCTAGATGTCCACTTTAACACAACCTCATGTTGGTAACATTTAAACCCCCCAAATTAAGAACATCAGTAGTTCTGTTTTTGCTAAGCTCAGTGCTTTGAACCGTCTTAGGAACTTTCTTTCCGTCAAATAAAATAAATTTGGTGCAATTTCTTATTTAACCCATCATTGTGTTGATGTATATTTTTAAAAAATAAAAAAATATCATAATCAAAATATTTCCAAATTCGTTTTTAAAGAACACGGGTCGTCTTCTCTCTCGAGTAATTTAACTAGCTAGTGTTCGTTCCTAGTTTTTAGGGAATGTAATTACATCCTATTTTAATAAACTATTTTTGTTTTTATGTATTATATTATTACTAAGATAGAATACCTCGTTACCAGTAATAAGGGTCTCCCCGTTTCTCGTCACTCACCAAACGAAACACGACAGCATGATGCCGCTATTTTACTCTAATAATAATCGGAGCGTCGGGTCAGTCGACTGAGGAAGGCTCAGTCGACTGACCCAGTTACACTGATGTCTTACAGTTGAATCATAGTTCTACTACGTTTATTTGTTTTGGTGGTTAACTAAAAAATAATAAATACTAACTTGTAATAAGAACAAACTTCATGTCATATGATTTTTGTGACAAACATCTCAAAAAATATAGTAAATCAGGCTTACATTAAAAGTTTTGCGATAAAGATTAACCGACCTTCGAAGTTGAAAGAAAAGTAGGGTCAAATTTATAGGCACTTTATCTTCTAACGACGTTTGTTTTAGTTGCTTAAATGTTTGCGACATGAACGAAAGAAATTTTCTAATCTGATAAGAAGTTTAACTTATTAATGATTTTTTAATTTGATTTTCCTTCGTGTATCTTGTTCTTCTATTGTTTCCGATTCGATCATCATAAAGCAAAGGCAGTCGGCAACACTGAATTAGTTTCCCTTTTGAACATGTCGGTAATTTATTGATTTCACAACCATTAAATTACAGACCTGTTACTCTGCGTATGATTATTCCTATAAAAATCCACCAAGTAACATCAACAAAGACCGTTTAGATTTATATTGAATAAAGAATTGTGTGCATAATCCTTATATTTTTGGATTTAAACATGCAATATCCTTCAGTATATAAAATAAAACAAACTCTTAACTCTTTTTTTATTTTGTTTCGCAAAAGTGAAATGGATCTTAACAAAATAGTTTCCTGGAAATAACTACTGTATTGCCTCAAATTTATGGGTCCTTCTAAACAAACACTAGTACTCACAGGAAGACAATCACGTAAATGGAATCGCTTCACATGAAAAACAATCTACTTTAGTCGACTTAAGTAAACACGTCTTTCCTTTCGTAGGCAGTTTGCTGGCATATTTTGTATTACAGATCGATTTTATGATATAAGTATATCTAACAATAAAACTATGATTAAAAAAGTTATTTTCATTTTATTATTCTCTCATGACTCACCTATATCATTCTTTTGAATAACTTTTGTTCACGTCAATTTACAAAATGTTTGTAAGAAATTTTTTATTTCATTTAGTAAATTATAATACATTCTTGCGCTTAGAATGAATTGACCTAAAACTCTTAGAAGTAATTTTAATATACAAATTATAAATGAATTAACATATTAAATTAAAATCTGATTCGTTTACTATCTTTAAATTAATATCTATATTACATTACATTTTAGCACTTCACAATTCTACTGTTGAACATAGGTCTCCACTGAGTGAAGCCTTAAAGCGATTTCTTGAGCCACTTGCATCCATATGCTTCACAGTTAGATTATCCCGGCATTTCAACGACATTATTAGCGGAAAAGCTTGCACATACCGTATTTTGTGATAGCAGCGTCAACGAGTTCGAACTCTTCGAAATTTCACGTAAGAAAAGTGCTGGTAGTTTGATGTCATCCGAAGGGCTCTTGTTTTTATAAATGTTCTCTGTTTTAAGAGCCCCGACGAATGACTTGTGTCCCTTAAGAGAAAGGAAAAGCCCTGTTGTTTTTTAAGGGCTTTTCCTCTCTCTGTGGTACCTCAATGAGACACTTTGGTAGCCTGTGAGAGGCTCAGAGATAAGTCGTTTAGAATTAGAGCGATATCACAGGTGGCTTAACTGAGCAAATATGAATCTCTGAGACACTATGTATTAGGTCTTTACCTATAAAAATGTTTTGTTGAACTGGCCAATTTGAGCTGTAATAGCTATTGTTTGACTTGGAATTTTAAACTGAAAAATAGTTCATTATTAATGCATATTATTCCTTTTTTTTACATCAGTGTTTCTTTTGTTACTTTGGGTTTTGTTTTTTTCTGCGATATAAACCATGTATTCTTAGAAATTTTGTGTATGTTTGAATATGAGTTCTGACATGAAAACAATGCATCTCATAATTGGCTCGCATTATCAATGATATTAGTAACGAACTAGTAACGTACGAACTGTGCGGTATCGGGGTAATTTTAATCGGTCACATAACTTTCGTTCGGGATTTTTTAATCAAAAATTATGACAAACTGAAAGCAATAGTGCAAGCGAATATGTCTCAAACTACGGCTGAGCTAGCGTCTTCTGTTGTTGGTAGTATCAACAGTAATAATAACAATAATAATAATAATGCTTTATTTCGATATTTATGTATTATTTATTTTTTCATTTTCATTTATAATTATATATTTATTAGAAATGAGACCAACCAGATGAGAAAGCTATATGCTTTAATTTAACAAATAAATGTAAATTCCCTGGCTCCTAATGTAGGTGAACCTGTATCTCAGAAGCCGGTATTTTCACACAAAATAACTGGACAAACTAATTAAATGTTGTCAAAAATAAAAACTCTATTAATGAAACTAAAATTCTACTGTATAAATGTGCGTGTGCGTGTGAGTACGCGTATGCGTGTGTGTGAATGTGTGTTTGTGTATTGGCAAATTTCATTATTTTATTGATTTTCGGAAAATCGATAAAATAATGACATTTGCTAAACGGCTAGCTCATAAACTGACTACTACTGACTAAACTGACTCTTCTTTTTGCACTATATCCTCCAAACCTTTCCTCAACCGATTATCATTAATTTATTTTTGAAATTTAGACAACTTTTTGATAGGTAAAAATTTCAATCTTGTAGAAACCGTTAATAACGGCTTTAAAAAGTTAATCGATTGTCGTAAAGCAGACTTCTATAAGAAGGGCACCAAACTGATTAATAAATTTAAAAAAAACTGATAAGAGGGCTGATTCTTTTCTCACCCAAAGGCTTAGTATAAACAGCGAGCAAGCAAGCAAATATAATTTAGCTAGAAAACGCAGCCGCCGTTCTTTGCACTATACCCACGGGAAGTAGGACTTATTCTAAGTAATAAGTAGCTAATATAATTTAAAATTACGTTAATAACTTATAATTATTTCTAAGGGAACCTTATGAATTATTATTAAAAGATTATTTTTTATATTCTTTATTACAGTATAAGAAGAAATCAATTTAACAGTATAATATAATGAATGCTAAATTTCTACTATTAGCCACAAATATAATTAAATAAAAAATTATAAAACACCACTCACATCTTATTTTGTTACAGTGCATCAGAACTACATAGGAGTGGACGGATCAAGAGAGCCGTATTTACTTAGCGTTGTTCAAGAAGGGGCTGGACTTTTACGAGCAATACTGTTTAACAAAATGGTTAGAGATAAATAATTTTAGCATAAAACTGAAATGTGTATTCAATTGAAGATGTTGGTTTAACTAATAAAAGGTTCCAATTATGATATAGATAAAGATTTTCAATATGCTAAAATGGTTGAAGTGTTATTGAAAAAAAAATATTTTGTAGTGGTATATATTGAAGAATTCCGTATTGGATTTTGTTATAGGTTAATATTTTGTCAATATAGAACATAAAATATAAAATAAAACATTAAACGAGCAATTCTAGTATATATCTATAATTGGAATCTCGGAAACGGCTCCAACGATTTTCATAAAATTTTGTGTCCAGGGGGTTTCGGGGCAATAAATCGATCTAGCTAGAATTTATTTTTAGAAAATGTCATTTTATCCGTGTTTTCAGGCAATAAAGAACTGCTACAATATCGTTAGAATGAGAAGGTAAATTTTGACAGCGTATTAGCGATTATAATAGCTCAAAGGGACGGCGTAATCGTAGTCGACCATGGTTTCGACTTTTTTTTATTTTCAAGTTCCCTTCTTTTTTTTGAGAAAATCTATTATTTCGAGCCCTTTTTAAGTATTTTTTTAAATCACGAAAATTTAAATTAAACTAATTGCACTCATGATTTTTTATTTAAATCACCAGTTCAGTTTTTTTATTATGTAGTAAGATCGAAAAATGTTATTCATATTTCATCAGTATGTAAATTTTATCTTAATATATTTTCAAAAAACACGGTTTCCAAAAAAATACCGAGCAAAGCTCTGTTATCCAGGTACTATAAAATAAAACATAAAGCACAATCAAAGCGAAAATATCACTGTTAGAGTATATGTATGTTATTCTAAAACGATAACATTTTCATGTATTCTTTAATTACGTAGAGCTATGGGAAAATAGCTGTCTACATTTTTTGAGGAAAAAATGATGTTTTTCCACAGGGTGCGCACAAAATATATTTACCAGCCAGCGCTTGGAGTGGAGGAAGCGGTCAAACTCCATCAAGGCCGACAGTAAAACAAATTCTTGCGCAATTTACAGCTATGGAAAGAGTCGATAAAGTGCCGAGAGAGGTAAGAACGCCGTATAAATAATTTTCTGTTTCCCACCGACATAATATATTTATGATTTATTTTAACTTAAGGTATTTCTGGGGTTATTCTAAAAATTCATTGTAATTCACCTGTTTGCAGATCGCTACCTGAACGTTAGGTTAAAGTAAATAAACAAATATATGTGCATGTGAAACACACGCACATATATTTACATAACGAACCAAATTATTGTTTTTGACATACTATATTTATTGTTTGAATACTTATCCACCTGATATCTTATATTGAAATTACGATATAAGAAATTTATATAGTCGTAGATAATAAAACGCGTTTGCTACTGTTGTTGAGTTAACTCAACAAAAGATAAAAAGACGCACGTTTGCAAATTATTCCAATCCTAATGATTTCTTATATTTACGCAAACACTACACATTGATTAAAACTACTTTTACGGATTTTATCGCGTTTATTTTACTATTATTTTTAATTCACATGGGCACGGGGGGACGTCCCCCGTAACCATGGGTGCTGGAAAGGGCACGGGTGACGTCCCCCGTGACCATGGGTGCTGGAAAGCGCCCGAAACGTCGGGAATTAAAAATAATAGTAAAATAAACGCGATAAAATCCGTAAAAGTAGTTTTAATCAATATTCCAATCCTTTGCTGTAGGTATTACGAGTATAAGTGACGAAGTAAACTGTTTAGATAGAATACGTGATATGCTGATAACTAAGAAGTATTGAGGCAATGCTATTAAAAGAGGGTAATTTCTGAAATCTGAAACAATAATTTATTTCCTCCCTCTTATCCTGCGCACATTCCAATATATCTTAACTAAATGTTGTATAAATTAAATTATGTTAAATTTATTTTTATTTTTTTATACTACTAATGCTATTAAACATTACTAATGGTATTTTTAATCACTACTTTAATCGTGGTAAGCTTAAAATGCTTGTGTTAGAAGTTGTACACGAGAGTGGTCGAATGGCGTATTCCAACCCACGACATTTTGAAGTCGCGGTCCGCATCCTACCAGTAGACTATTGACGCTTGAATGACTAAAAATATATACGAATTATAGAAGAAATGTTTCACTTACAAATAAATACAATCGAAAATAATAAATAGTTACTTCTAATTGATTCGACGTTAGCCTACCAATTTCTTTGTATAGATTACGTGCCCGGAACTACAAAAGGATATTTTACTTCTTGAGGAGCAAGAGGGTTCAGTGAACTTCAAGATTGGTATTATGCTGATGAAGCCTGGTCAGAAGACTGACGACGAAATGCTCTCTAACGGTAAAATTTACAAAATCACCAAGCTTATCACGATGCTATTAAAAAAGGCAATACGTACAAGGTTCAGTCTGTTTCAGAGAAAGGCAACGAAAAATGGGACCGATTTATCTCACTATTAGGAGACAAAATTCGATTACGAGGCTGGAACCGTTTCCGAGGAGGCCTTGACGTGAAAGGTAAAATGGGAGTTTCGTTTGAACGCTTTTAACTAAATAATGCCCAAGTAAATCAATTACCTTTTGTGCGTTTCAATCACTCATTCATTCTTTCATTCCAGCCGTCAAAGACCACTGTTGATTCCTCCACGAAGGATCGCCTCAGAATGGGATTTTGGTATAGTTGGCGGGCGAGTTGGCAAACGTAGTTTTTATTTTCTGTTGTTGGTTGTTATTAAATACGGGGTACGACATCCATGGGACGATGCAGGGTAGTGGACATACTTACATTGTAACAGAACTTGAATAACATTAACTTACCATTTAAAATAAATATGTATACCAATATATATAGCATGCGGCTCACCCGATGGTAAGTAACTGCCGCCACCCAAGAACAACTGCAACACCAGGGAAATTACAAATACGTCACCAGCCTACAAAGAGTAGGCTCTTTTCTTGAAGGTCCTTAAGTCATATCGGTCCGGAAAAATCGCTGGTGGTAGTCGACTCCACAATAAAGTTGTGCGAGGAAGAAAACTTCTAGTAAATCGCACAGTTGTGGACCGCCAGTCACTCAGATGTGATGTGGAAGATACCGCGAGTTTCGTCGCGATGTGCGATGGTGAAATTGAGCGGCTGGAATTAGTGCGTACAATACCTCTGAGCGCTCCCCGTGATAGATGCGATATATTTATTTCTAGCGTTTAAAAATGATTGTAAATACTATAAATAGTACAGTAAAATTACCGCCCTACAGTTAGGCATATGCACATGCCTTCACTGTTTTAATGTTTTTGGAGCAAAAAGAACAAAGAACTAAAATATCCTCGACTTTTCGTATTTTATTCCTTAATATATTCTTCGATATTTTTTCTAAAAGATTCTTTTAAATTTATATAGTAACCTAGGTGAAAATCTTTTAGGTGACATGACTGGCAGCCATTCCATATACACGATGCATCAAGGTCATGAAATTATGTTTCATGTTTCAACTATGTTACCATTTTCCAAAGACAATAAGCAACAGGTAAGTTTTGCACATATATAATACATAAATAATCTTTACTGTCACACAGGGCTTTAATGTACAAGAATAATACTTATTACTATATACATATATAATACTTAATCCTATGGAAATGGCTCCAACAATTTTCATAAAATTTTGTGTCCAGGAGGTTTCGGGGGCAATAAATCGATCTAGCTAGGATTTATTTTTAGAAAATGTCATTTTGTCCGTGTTTTCAGGCAATGAAAAACTACTACAATATAAGTAGGTAAATTTTGACGGTGTATTAATGATAGTAATAGCTCAAGTGGATATCGCGCAGTCGAGAAATCGTAGTGCCCTAGTTCGCGTCCTGTCTTCGGTCCGACTTTTTTACCTTTTTTTTTCAGGTTCCTTTCTTTTGTGAGACAATCTATTATTTCAAGCCCTTTTTTAGTATTTTTTTAAAAATACGAAAATTTAAATTAAACTAATTGCACTCATTTTTTTTATTCAAATAACCAGTTCAGTTTTTTCTATTATGTCAATAAGATCAAAAAATATTCATGTTTCATCAGTATGTAATTTGTATCTAAATATAATTTCCAAAACACACGATTTCCTAAAAAAAAATACCGAAGAAAGCTCGGTCATCCAGGTACCACCTATTTAATTTAACAATAACATCACTTGTGTTGTACAAGTGATGTTATTATCAAATTAAGTAGGTGAAGTACTGGAGCCCGTCTGAGTAGATAACACCCTCTTGGACAAAATAGATCCTCTCGTCATCATCAGGATATCAATAGTCTACTGCTAAACATAGGCTTTTCCCATATATAGCCTCATAGAAGATTTGAAAAGATGGCAACTGGCAGGCGGTTTGGCAGCCACAGTTTATATTATTTTGAGTTGTTATGAGGAAGATGCTGCTGCCCTTCTCCTGTTTGTTTTCCTCTGTTATCTTTTACAACTTCTACACGTACGGGATGATATGAGGTAATGGATTCTTACGCTGCCGATACACGCCTTATTATACTGATTTTCCATACAACCAGTGGAAACTGTTGTAATATAAAGAGGCAGTATAATTACGTGACGTAGCATGTATTCATTCTAATTAGGCAATTCTATCTTTGTGCTCAGGGGAGACAATACATGTGTAACCTACTTTGCTTAAAGTTTCTGCATGTCTCTAAGGCCTGTAATAAACGTGCTTAGTTATAAATAACATTTACCATCAAATAAGCTACTAGCACGTTTGTCACTGTAATTTAAAAAAAAACTACAAATTTTCTTATAACTTGATCTCCTTTTTGTATATATACAAGTTAAAATAGAAAAGTGTCACCGACTGAATGTTCTGTAACTATTAAAGTTATGCAAGAAATTCGAAATCATTTTACTGCTGTTCTTATGAAAAAAAATGAAACTAAAAAATCCCAAAAAATCTTTCAAAATCTCTATTTATCCTCAAAGTAAAAAATCATGTACATCTTTTTTAAGATTTCAACAGTTAATGAAATATTTTAACTAAATGCTTTTTCAAAAAAGGATGAATGTAGTATAAATATTTTAAATACATCAAAATCACTAATGTAAATAAAAATAAAAAGCTTAAAAATTCCGTATTCCCACCCTTTCAATAGCCAAAAGTTCTACTAACGCGATCAATAATTGTGCAAGTATAACATTCGTCTTTTTTCTAACATTTCTTTCGACTACTTAAAATGGTCATTTAATATAAAAAGATGTATTAGAAATGGTAGAGCCACGCTACAGCTATATTATACCACGCTCTCACAGAATACCAACGTAAAAATAGCAGCTTACTACTGCTGTGTTTAACATGGTAAAGGATACAAAAGCCTGTTATATTTTATGACAATTTTAATACAAACTTACATTCAAATTAGAGAATAATTGAAAAATAAAGTAAGCAGATCTTAAAGTAACACAAGTTCAGCACAAAGAATTTTTAACATTTGTCAACAACAGTCTAAAAATAACGAAGTGTAAATAAAAACTAAACTTTGTATGCATTTGTTTTTACATTTGAATTTTAAATAACAGGTCTACTTATATTATTAGGTTCTAATTTTTTATTTGATTATCCGTATCCTAATCTTCATCTGCTTAAGCTGTCCAATAAAGCAATAAGACCTCCGAAATGATTTAATTACAAATCAAAATTTGATAAAGGTACCCAGATTAGTAGGCTTGGCGTGCCTATAAGATCTAAAGGCGATTGACAGTAAATGCTAATGAAGGGATCAGTCATCTACTACATGACCGTATAAACTTTAAATAATCAATAACCGTTATGAAAAGAACAATATTGTTTTGAATTTTACGCACCTACTTATACTATAGAGAAATCAATACTCGAAGTTGTTAACAAGTATGTTAAAAATTAATCTTATTTTCTGATATTTATTATTTAAAATTAATGTATATCATATAAGTTGTGTACAACTTTTATTATATGACACCATTGTGTTCATCGCTGGTCATGTCTGGTTTATGTAACAAGTTTCAATGAAGATATAGATATATATATTAATCAGCATTATTGAAGATATTCAAACTAAACTCGTTCGCAACGCAATTGGTTAGCTACGCCTACCGCAGGTGAATTTGCGTTGAGTAATGTTTTTAGGCTAGGAATGCTTCCATGTTTTACTTGCACTTACAGATGATGGCCTTTTACATTGATTTGTGAAGCCTAAATATCTGATTAATATCGAAAAATAGCATTTAAAGCTACGCTCTGCATTATAAGCCACCTGCCAAGTGGTTTAATTACTTCAACTTTCTCTTACTTGAGATAGGTCTGTTCAGCGGTAGATTTTTACAAAATGGAGATTGGCAACTGAAAACAACAATTTCACTAAAAGTTATCATAGACATTTATGAAGTATATTACGTCATAACGTTGTTGAAGAGCTCAATTGTATACGAACATTTCTTTCACAGCTGGAGAGAAAACGACACATTGGAAATGACATAGTAAACATTATTTTTACCGAAGATTCTGTGCACAACACTTTTAATCCACAGTACGTCAAGAGCCATTTCACTCGTATCCTTTTTATAACAATAATATTTATTATTATTTTATTTCAGAGTTAAACGTTTTCAAAGTTGTAATTTATTTTTAAAGGAGAAATCTTTTAACAGATTTATATTTTTTTCATGTTTGGGTATTGTTTTGTGGATGTGACTAGCTTACTAACTACCTACTTATTATTTTTAACTTTTGTAAAACCATACTTAGCTGCCAGCATTTGTGTTTATATATTATAATAATCTCAGGCAACTCCAAAGAAAAGAAATAACTGATATAACGGAATACTTCAAATAACAAATTGTTATTCGGTTTAATGTTATTTTCTTAATATTTATCCACCTAATTTTTCTCTGATAGTAAAACCTTGTCATTAAATTTTCTGATGGAAGGATGAAGTTAGTTAAATATATTACATAAGCCTACTTCGTTAACGCGTCTGCTGATATACTCGTATGTTTCTTATTGTATTTAATAACTTTTTTTAAGTACATCACTCTACATGAACAGTTCATACAATATTCTTTAAGTTAAATACATACGTAATATAATGTATGTAGATATTGTAATTTTTTCTGGATATATGAAAAATGCTTAATAAATAATTTATGAAAATTATTAAAATTTAAATGTATTTTATGAAAATATTTTTGAGAATGAGAGAACGCAAAATTGTATTCACTGTTTAAGAATATGTACTCCAATCTTCTTCGACTGAATTTTCCTTAATAATGAATCAGATATATTCGCTGTGGTATCAGAAGTAGAAGGAGAAGGTTACCGACTAAGCGTTTACAGCGACGATACAGTGCCGCCATTTGGCCCTTCACTGCCCTGCCCACCAGTTTTTAACGACCCTCAACTTTTTAGAGAATTTCTGCTGGTATGTGAAATTCCCTAAATTAATACAAACATTTTACTACAAGATAGTTTTACACATACATAACATTAACCTTAATATCAACTTCACTACTACTACTACGTGACCAACATGAAAATTTATTTAAATCACATTTTCAGGTTAAGTTAATGAATGGTGAAAAGGCTGCTTTCCAAACCCCAACGTTTGCATTAAAACGGCAACGAACTCTTGACACCCTGATAAGAGATATTTATGCTGAACACTGCTCAGACCACAAAGTAGTAAGTTTCGCATAAAGCATTTTAAACCCTAACAGTAACGCTTTATAGTTTATTATTATCTACAGAAACTTCGAGAAGTTCCAATCAGTTTTGGAAATAGTTGATAATCTGGTAACTACTAGTTACACAGAATTGCTTTTAAACATAATACTTGTTTTTGTTTCTTTAGGAGGACTCTAAACTACATCAAACTTCCCAGTTTTAAAAATTTAAACAGAATTGCGCTTCTTCTCATTAATTCGGAGACGGTCCTAATTATTCATATGTAACATTCAACTGACGGAAACAGTTTGCCGCGCGAGTGTGACCTACTTTCTTGGTTATTCGAATTTCTTACAGGGTAGAGGGTAAATTATTGCACGTACAAGTGAAACAACACATTCGAAAAAATTATTTCCAGCGCCTTAAAAGAACAAAACCTCTTATATAAAAGGTTAAAGAGTGAAATTTTAATTATTTTATTTACTAACGACTTCATAAAAAATCTTACGTAGAGATATTTAAGTATAAACTTAGTAGTTACACTATAAACTACAGGATTGGTCTCCGACTTCAAAAAACCCCAAATCCTTGCAATATTTCACGTACCATGCATAAAAAGCACGATAATACATTCTCTTATAAAGAATTTGTTAATTACTAAAAATTTTCTCGCATATTTCTAAATACCAGGTATACAAAATATATAGCTTTAATATGTTGAAAATCTCTCTTTGTAATAAAGTATTATTAAAGATTTTAGGACTTTGGTATTAATAAGTTATTTATTATTCTCTTCACATAGCCCATGCTGTCGCGTCGTGCGTTGTCAGACGTGTGGTCGGGCGGTGCAGGTGCGGGCGGGGCGGGCGCCGCTCGCACTGAACGTTTCCTACACGTTGGTCAAGCGCTAAAACTCGATGCCGTGTTACGAGGAGACGCGCCTACCAGCCTGGTCTCAACTGGTATGACACAGCTGATTTACCGATAGTGTATATATTTATTAGACTCATTAAATAATATATTAAAAATATTTCTAAAAATAACTATTTTTTTTTTCAAAAAAGTTATAAGCCAGTGCAATAATCAAATAAAATCACTTCACATGAGAGTAATCAGAAATTATAATATTAAATGTTGATATCAGAAATCGTAAGACCAAAAATGTCCATAGACAAAATCTTACTGGAGAAAGAGCTTCAAACAACACCACTAGTTTACAGGTGACTATAATGTCAACAACGATAGGCAATCAGTCTCATTGGCATTAATACTGCGAGTCATATAGAGAACATTGCTACGAAACTGCTACAGCTACTACATACAACCTCGTAACTGCTTTGTACAATTTCTTTTATAGAAGAGGAGGCAAACGAGCATGCGGCTCACCTGATGTTAAGTGACTACCGCCGCCCATGATCAACCGCAACACCAGGGCAATTGCAGGTGCGTTGCCGGCCCTTTAGAAAGGAGTAAGCTCTTTTCTTGAAGGTCCCTAGGTCGTATCGGTCCAGAAAAATAGCCGGTGTTAAACTATTCCACAGAGAGGTCGTACGCGGAAGAAAACTCCTTGTGAAACGTACAGTAATGAACCGCCAAGCATCCAAATGGTGTGGATGGTATCGGGATCAAAGGATCAAAGAGATGCAACATCTCTTCGCAGCACCAGTGAATCGAGCCGATCGGAAAGCACTCGGTCGTTGACGATTCGGTCCGCTCTGCGCTGGATGCGGTCAAGTGGAAGGAGCTGGTACTGGGGAGCTCCAGCCCAGAGATGAGAACAGTATTCCATGTGCGGCCGAACATGCGCCTTGTAAAGTTGCAGGCGGTGTACCAACATGAAATACTGTCCCGCTCTGCTGAGCATCCCAAGCTTTTAGAAGCCTTCTCTTCCAAGTGACCACGAAACTGCACGTCACTTGATATGTCTACGCCGAGGATTCCGATACTGGCTGAGGTAACAAGGGGAGTGCCTTGAAACTGAGGAGATACGACAAAGAGATTCTTTTTAGCGTTAAACTGGACTAAATTTAGTCGCCCCCAATCCAAGACTGTTCAGCAAAGACTCGACTTCAGACACAAGTTTGTCCCGGTATCTCCGAGTACGTTTTCCCGAGAAATATTGGCACGGCCGGTGTACAGAGCATCACCAGTGCTGTCATCTGCATAGCAGAAGAAACAGCGTTGGCGATAGCACGCAGCCTTGTGGAACACCAGCATTCCTGTAATCGGAGCTTGCACCATCTACAACGACCTTGATGCTCCGATCTGCAGGAAAGCTGGTGATCCAATTGCACAATTTCTCGGGAAGCCCATAGGAAGGGAGCTTCGAAAGAAGCGCTTTGTGCCAAACCCGATCGAAGGCCTTCGCAATGTCCAAACTAACGGCCAATGCCTCTCCCTTGGACTCTACTGCCTCCGCCTATCTATGAGTAAGGTAGACCAGAAGATCACCAGCTGATCGACCCCGGCGAAAACCGTACTGACGATCACTCATCAGCTGGTGATCTTCAAGGTACCTGATGAGCTGACAGTTCACAATAGACTCCATTCTTTTGGAGAACAAGGAGGCAATGGCGATAGGCCTATAGTTGGAGGGGTCTGAGCGGTCCCCTTTTTTAGGAATCGGGTGGACGAAAGCTGTCTTCCATAATTTTGGGACTACGCTTCGGTAGTAGGAATACCAGAAAAGATGCGTTAAAACCAGTGCCAACTCTGGAGCATACGTCCTTAGCACAATTGGGATGCCCAGGAAGATGTCCAGGGAGAGGAGTGCTTAGCGAACCGAGCGCTGTGTGAACTGCACTTCCGGCATGGAGCACTCACACCGCGGGATGATTTTCATTAACTCTATAACTTCCTAATCTGTGTAGAGGTCTCATCCTGTTCGAAGCCTATAAGTTCAGCTTAACATCTTAGTATCGCCGAAACCACTGCCAGCTTAAGAGATTCCTCCAACCCGGATTCCACGCTGCGCATACCGCAAGCGTAAGGGATAATGAATCCTGGTCCCTCCCATCGCAGTATAACCAGTTTGCCATCACTTCGTTCCTTTAGGTTTACTGTGTAGGTCTATAGGTAAGTCTTTATCCCTTCATTGCGTTCAGATATTGAAGTGCGCACAAAGCCACTCTTAAACGCTCGACATGTATAGGAATGTTTCACGAATGTTGAATTTTTTAGTAGATTCGACATCAACAATCGTCTACAATGGCCGCAAATCACACCGCATGAAAGGAGTTTGATGGACATCAATTATACTATGGGTTGTATCACGTAAATTGTCAGCTCCTATATAGGTATATTTTCATATACAGTTCATAACTGCTACGTATGTAGTATATATTATTAACAGTTTTTGTAAGACTGAATGGCATTCAGAGATAATATCCTTAAACTCAAACATCACAACGTAAAAAATTCGGCTCAAGACTCTACGTCATATTATGTTTAATAAATATTGATATTGAGCACTTTCAGTTTGAGCTCAAAGCCTTGGTCTCATATTATATAGCATATATGTAGCAGTTATTAAACTGTATGTAGCAGCTGTAGCAAAATCATAGCGAAGAGGCTAGTGTCTAGCAATGGACTGTTTACAGGCTGTTCGAACGGCCCAGTAATAACGTTTGAGTTGGCTTACGTACTTTGCTACGAATTTTCTAAAGGTTTCATTGATATATATATATTATAATCTTGTTTTGCTACGCAGTATATAAAAGCGACAGTTAATCTATAATCTGCTTGATCAATTTCTTTAAATTCAATTTTTTTTCAGAAAGCAACAACTTAACCTGGTTTCTTACTATTGTGTGAAAGAAAATATTTCGTTTATTTAATTTTTTTTTTGTATTTATAAAAAAATATATTTTTTATTTCAAAACTTCATAAGGCTCAGGAGGGTCACGTCGAGCTCCTTGGGAAGGGCGGGTGTGGCGGGCGGCACCGCTTCCTGCATCACCAGTCTGCGCAGAACAGCTGTCCGAAGGCCGACTTCTGCTATCTACCACCTCTAACACTTACATATTGGAAGGTAAATAATAAAATGCCTATCTGACGTAACAATAAGTACCTACTAAAACCACAGAGTACCTAGATACTATTGTACTACATTATAATGCTGTAACCTACATTTCAGGCGTAGTATTTGAGTCCAAGACAGAGCCAACAATCATTGTAAAATACAACAAATTGTTGTTCTTCGAATGTCGTTGCGTCTTTGAAATTGCATTCTAGTTTAACTCTGATTTTACTAAAGGTTACATTGAACACTAAAGGTTACAAGAGCCGTGGTAAAAAAATATTTGGAAGACATGTAAAATCCGAAAAAACACGCATTGGGGCAGCGCGGCGGACATTTCCTTGCCCTAAAACCCTCTCAGAAGTGAGAGGAAGCCTATGTCCATGTCCAGTGTGACGTATATAGGCTGTAACTTTACTAACTTTTACATTTAGCTCTGGACCGAGTAAATACCTACATATCTTCCAATTTAATTCGTACGAAAGTTAAGTTGTTTGTGTGAAGTTCGGCCAAACTCATTTTCTCCATCACATGAATATCTGATGTAAAATGTTTCAGAAAGCGGCACAACCAGAGTGGTTCTAAGATGGGAGGGGTGCGTCCGTGCGGCGCGTGTAACTGAACGCGTAGGTTTGTTCCGTGTGGGTGCGCGGGTGGTGGCGGGCGGCGGGTCGACGAGCGGCGGCGCGGGGGGTGCGGGGCTGTACGCACTGCCGCTGCACGAGCTGTGCGCTGGCGCCTGGGCTATGCGCCCGCTGCAGGACTGCAAGCACGCTCGTTTGCCACGCACCAAGACCGCGCACTTCTTCGACGTCATTGAAAATGGTACGCTTTTTATGTATATTTTAGTAGAGGTTGCTGCAACTAGAGAAATAATCAAAAATTCAAAATAAACTTTACTGCGTACAATTTTTCACATTTCGAACTCACCTGCATGCAGTGCACAATGATGACTAATAAATGAGACTGGACTCTGACCAATAGAGAATTCAAATTCCATAAAATTGCAGTGGGAATCAATATTGCCATCGAGGGTATTTTACACTTTCATAGCATGGTGAGCGTAACAAAATTCCAAGAAAAACTTGCCCGATCGCCTGTACTATAAGCCTACTTTCAACAGTGGACTTAGAGTAGCAGAAGATAAAATATGTTGAGTTAATGGCTCTGCCTGACACATACACACAACACACCTTTCAAAGCCTGAAATTTAAGGGCCTGAAAACCATTTTTGTTCGAGTATTTGCCCTTAGCTTTAGCTCAAACTTAACGGTTGTTAAAATACGAATATCTTGTGTTGTAGACTTTAACTATCCACTCGGTCTCGTAAGAGGCGACAGAGGGAAATTGAAAGAGGTGATGAGCAGCAGCATCTTCCTGATAACAACTCAAAATATTAAAAAAACTGCGGTTGACAATCCACTCAAAATTCCCCCCTAAGAAGAAATTTGTGGGAGGCCAGTAAATTATGGTATGCAATGCAGTGTAATACACGTAATATGAACATTAGAATTAGTCACGTGGTGCCGGCGTAAGAGAATCTATAATTCTATTTCTTCCTGTGATTTTCGTTAGAAGCTATTATGAGAATAGCGAGAAAAATCTTGTGGCTTCTAATAAATGTCGATATAACCGTCCCGACATTGCCTGACTTAAAATACTTAGACCGACGACAGGGAACGGCGTCGAAGGTGCAAAACAAGAATCAGAAAGAAGATCAAACCATCTGTCAAGCATGACGGTGTGGCCGTATCCTCGCTATACTAGTCATAATTTTTTTTCTTTTTTTCAGTCGAGGGTGGCAAGACTTTACTAGCCGTGGCTATCGGTAGAAGAGTGATTCTGTTGCTCGAAGAAGAAAAGACTGAAAATGAAATGGGGTTTGAGTATATACATATCAAGGTACGTAGCCAATTGTATATAAAACTAGCTATTGTCAGTCTGTTCGTTAAGACCAAGCAGTCTAAGCTAAGCGTATCCTTGCTAATTACGATTTGTAAGTTTTTGTAATCAGTCCAATTTTTGAAAATAATTGTATAGATTCGATTCATCAGTTTTCATTTAAAAACACATACTGTAGAGTAAATTTGCAGGGGACATCTTTACTGTGAACAATGTCTAACGCCTATACTTTATAAAAGTTAGGAAATGACGGCTCCGTGAAACAGTGGCAAAGAGATACGGCTTGCGAGGTCGCAGGTTGAAATCCCGCACGGAACAAGTATTTATATGACCTACAACTTGTTCCTTCTCTCTCTATATATATATATATATATATATATATATATATATATATATATATATATATATATATATATATATATATGATAGGGTGACAAACGGGCACACAGTCCACCTGATGGTAAGTGGTTGCTGTGGCCCATAGACATCCACATTTATCTTCAATTAAGAATCAAAATGCAAATGCGTCGTCACCCCTTAGGACTATGATGGAATGCCTCGATACCAGTAAAAAGGGTCTGCGGTTCTCTACACTCACCATACGAAACATAGCAGCATTATACTGCTATTTTACGCTGGTAATCTGTGAGAGCATGGTCCTGCATCTATCCCGATTACGAATTAAAATGCAGATGCGTTGTCACCCGTGAGAATTAAGACGGAATGCCTCGTTTCCAGTAAAAAGGGTCCTAGTCTAAAGTCTGTGTCCTTGTGGAATTTTTGTGTATAACTGCCTTCACGATACAGGATAAAATCTTACTCGGGGATAACTCTTTTTAAAACTTAGAACTCGGAACTCAAATGAACGAAAGAAAAGTTATGTAGAATTATAATTTCTATAATTACAGCCAAACACAGTTCTTAATTTAACTGTATACAAAATACAATACTTTATACTAATACTTTTATCTACTATTTCAGGACATCCAGTTGAATGAATCTCCTATTTTAATAAAACTTATGGATGGTGAAGTAGCTGTAGTGGTGGTCGGCTATAAGCACCATTGGGAAGTCTTGGAAACTACCACTGGCCAGGTAGATAGATAACGTAAAACTAAGCAAAATGCAACATATTTTCATATTTTTACTGGTAGAAATATTTTGATTAAAAGTGACGTGAATTATAATTTTAAAGAAGGGATGGTAAGAAAAATAGTTAAATTTAAAAATAAAATTGTCGTAGAAGGGCCCTATTTTCGTATCACGCATGATTGTATCAATTTTGTCTGTTTCTTTGTGACTTCCTAAACTTTTTAAACTGAAGTGAGAGGTGTTACGATCGACGCCCGGCTCCGTGCATACTATTACGTCCAGTCGACTGTTGTCCCTACCATAGTGTACTAACTATCCAATAGGTGGTGCGCTTGTCACCATATCAAAAAAAATATCGGAATAAAAAGAGAGTCGCTTACGTCCAGCAGTTGTCTTCTATAAGTATAAGATAATAATAATGTTCTCCTGGCCTTTCGTCCAACTTCACAAATTCATCTTTCGAATACCGTTCGATGTTATCAACAACACGGAATAATATATTACCAAGAATTGTTTGCATAAGCACAGAGCCACTCGTTCTAACCTAATTCTATCTGATGTCGATCCGAAGTAGGCTACAATACCCAAATACATGCTACCTTTTTTACTGCAGGCCATCAAACGGGCGGAAGGGTCAGAAGATAGTGGACCACGACGAGGTACTCTTGTTAACGCCTTGCGCATTGGTGATGAAAGAGATGGCCAAATTATTTTATGCTATAATCGTAAGTTTTTTTTTAATCCAGAATTCATCAACATCATCGAGCTTCCATTAAAATGGAAAAATAATATCAAAAAATTATTGCTTATACTTTTGCAAATTAAATGTATGTTGCTTTTTTAAGTTTTTTAAGTAAAGTTTATAGGAGTAAATAGAACACTTTTAATATCAATGTCCATAGTCATTCCTGCGTTAGTCTACGTCAACTCTCCACTTGTGATTGATTGGCTCACTGAAAGTGATTAAACGTGAGCAACCCGGTTAATAAGAGCCGTGGTAGCTCAGTGGAGAGCCGTGGTAGCTCAGTGGTTAACGCTCGCTGTAAATATAACAGAACGCGAGTAACCCGGGTTCGATCCCCGCCGGCACCAATGAAATTGTTAATTGCAATTTTAAGTGCTGATTTACCACGTGCTCGGCGGTGAAGGAAAACATCGTGAGGAAACCTGCATGTCTGAGGAATAAGAAAAAAAAATATTTCGAAGACATGTGAAGTTCGTCAACACGCATTTGGGCAGCGCGGCGGACACTTCCTCGCCCTAAACCCTCTCAGAAATGAGGGGAGGCCTGAGCCCAGCAGGGGGACGTATATAGGCTGTAACTGTACTTTACTAACCCGGTTAATATCACCACCGCACCGGCATTAATAAAATTCTTAAGTGTAGAATTTAGTGCCGATTTACCATGTATTAGGCGATTTACTAAATGTCGAAGGGAAACTTGCATTTTTACAAGGGTGACAAGTGAGCGCACAGCCCACCTGATGGTAAATGGATTTTGTGGCTTGTAGACATCTACATTTATCCAGGATTAAGAATCAAAATACAGTTGCGTTGTCGTGTTTACGACGGATTGCCTCGTTACCCATAAAAAGAAGGGTCTCCAGTTTTATTCACTCACCACACGAGACGCTGCACCTGCACTTTCACGCCCATATTTTGTAAGAGTGGGGTTCTACCCAGGCGTGCTGACCTATTCGTTGTGCAGCAATAATATACTTACAACGTGGCTCTACCTCGTAAAATTCATTTGCATGCATGTTTGAGGAATTTCGAAGGCGTGTTAAGTCCCTTAACACGCACGCAGCGCGGCGAACTAATTGCACAGTAACCCCATCAGAAAGGAAAGGAGGTCTGTACTCAGCAGCGGGACTCATTTAGGCTGTAATTAACTAACTAAACGCAATATTTGATTTCATCTCTGTAATTCGTAGCGGAAGTTAACAAGTGATTAACTTATATTATTAAACTTTTTTACAGATACCTGCCATTTCGAACGGTTAACTAGTAAAGGTTTAGAAAGTGATAGTGAATACGATTTCCATTGGACAACAGTGCCTACGGCAGTGGGTAAGAAATAAATAAGAATCGCGCCTAATTTTACGTTTAACAACCCAAAATCACAAAGTCAAGCTTTTAATTAAGTATTATAACACATTTACCGAGCATTCCTTATATTAGAAATCAAAAACATCAATTGCAGTCTACGATACCGAAGGTTCTTAAACGCATCAAGTGGAGTAATACCTACTAACTATACTTCACCCTATTTTGGCCTTGAAGCCAATTAATTACATTGGTAGTATTTTTATAGAAATACACGGCACGCTTGTAAAGGTTACAAACGAATATACCGTCCACAGGATTGTAAGTGAGAGCATTCACTTAATTAAAAATCAAAATGCAAATGCGTTGTTGCCCCTGAAGACTTTAATAGAACGCCTAGTTACTTTCGGGTACGAGGTTGAATTCACTCATATATTGATATTGATATTTCACGCTGGTATTCTGTGCAAATATGGCTCTTCATTTAAGCTATGTACGCTATGCTAGCAAAAGTAAGCACTTTAACGCCATATATTAAAAGAAAATATAAAACTGTTATTCTGATAACATTGTGAAAACTGTTATCTGATAAAATGAAAAATGATGTGTACCATATAGGCTCCAGGCATCATCTTAAAATACCAGTACGAAGCTGCCACACGAAGACCTTTCTTCCCTTTTTTTGTATATTCAACCTTAATTATATATTCCTGTAAATTTCTTCCAAGACTGACAAAACCCAACAAAATGAACCAAATTTATTTTGAAATCTATGAACATTATAAACTCATTTAAAAAAGAGGATCTCAAATTGACTGAATTATTTCGCTTGTTCGCCGGATAAGATCTATATATATTACACTTTTTGTTGCAGTTTGTGCATTTCCCTACATAATGGCTTTCGCAGAGGATTTATTAGAAATACGGCTTGTTGCCAATGGATCATTAGTACACGCTGCTTGCATTCCGGGACTTAAATTACTTTGTGGTAGAAGAGTAAGTATAAACTAATTTATAATTTTTTATTTTACGCAGTTACAGCACTACAACAGCAGCATGTTCAACGTTTTAGTCATACAAAAAAATATGTGATCAAATACATAAAATAATCTGAGCGGTGGCGGAAACGTCATCCAAAAATGCTGAACCTAAATTTCAATAAGGTGCTTGAGACCAATATGTTTTGTCACCTGTGCTAATATATCGGCACTGCGTTCACCAACCCACCTGCTCAACTTGGTGATAATAGGCAAATTTCCCATTAATTAGAAGTAGCTTGTTGAAAAATGCAAATATTGGTTGACTTTAAGGCTGTTGATATGTAGCTAATTTGAAATAATTTAATTCGTCTATAGCGGATTGTTTTAAAATGGAAACAAAATAGAAAACGTTGCAGGACATTTTCTACGTGGCTTGCGCGCCGGAGTACGTGCCTCTGAGCCGCGAGCTGGAGCCGTGCTTCGCTCTGCAGCACGACAGTTACGAGCTGGTGCGGCAGATGAGTCGACAGGGTGGACCGCACTCGGTCGATGATGATGACGCTGATAGGTGAGTCCTCTGGCCGAGACATTAACACTTAATTGGCTATTCACCCTCATAGAGGAATTTTAGGTACCTAATTAAACGACCTAACATTTTGAATCCCTATGACGAAAAAACACAAATAACACTAACAGCAACAATAATAAAAACGCCTCCGGGATTACCTCATACCATCAAAAACACTTAGAAATCGTCCGATGTGTAAGTGATGTTTATATTCGTCCTGACATTTCTATCTTTTGGAAATTGTGAATTATCATTACAATTCTACTAACCTGTTCGCGGGTTATTTTTAAATGTTATAAGGCTGATCAGTATATTTAATGTAAATTTTAAAGTTGAAGTTAACGTTAAAATTACTGGACTGGGTATAGGCCACCTCTCATTTCTGAGAGTGCTTCAGGGCAAGGAAATGTACACCGAGTGGCGCAGCTTTCACAACGTTGAACTTCACATGTATTCGAAATATTTATTTTTATTATTTCTCAGACATGCAGATTTCCTCACGATGTTTTCCTTCATCGCCGAATACGTGGTAATCAGCAGTAAAAAGCAACAGCAGCAGTTAACCATTTCATTGGTGCCGGCGGTGATTGAATGTTGATTGTACTGTGAAATTCACAGTGAGCGTTTAGCCTCTGAGCTAACACGGCTAGCTGCAATTTTAAATTACAGAGTTTTAATTTACATAGAATACGCGCAGGATTTACGTATTTTTTTTTTGTTGTACCAGTTTAAATATGTGAGTCGGGGAATTCTTTTCTAGCGCTTATGAGCAGGTCAACGGAATAATTGCTTCATAGCCTTATTACAGGCACAAACTTTACTTTTTATTTATGATCTCTGAATTATTGATTGATAAATAAATATATGGATGACCTCAAGTTATTCGCCTCCAGTCGCTCCCATCTTGTGGAATTGCTAAACATCACTTGTGATTTTAGTAATTCTATTTAGAATAGAGCTGGGAATGGATAAGTGTGCGGTCCTCCATGTTGAAAGGGGAAGGGTTGCTAACTCTGAGGAATTATCATAGATTTATCTATGCCCGTCAACTTAAAGACCCTTTCCGAGGTTGAAACATACCGATACCTAGGTATGTCACAGAACATCGGTATCGATTAGGCTGGCATGAAACAGTCAGTTTGCGACGTGTTTTATGCACGCTTGACCAAAGTGCTTAACAGCCTTTTGTCCGGTGTGAATAAGACACACGCATATAACGGTTGGATCATGCCTGTCCTCATGTATATCTTTGGCATACTCAGGTGGTCTCAGACTGAACTTAATGCCCTGGATATAAAAATATCCGCACTACCATGACATCCCATAGAGTGCACCATCCGAGATCGTCAGTAATGAGGATGTACTTGCCGCGAAAACAGGGTGGGCGTGGCTTTTTACTTTTTAAGCGCGCTCACCATGCATAATCGCGAAGTGTGCAGTCAACGTAATTACTTCCGGGTGAGATCGGATGATAAAGTGATAAAGGACTTCCCCTCTATCCTTAGCCAACGAGCAGCGACAGAACCCGGCAGTACATAGCATTGCCGACCGGGAGAGCGTATGGAAGGAGGAGCTCCTCGGGAAGTTCTCCTCCTGAAGAAGTTCTTCTCCTTCGGGAAGAAGAAAGCCCTTCATGAGCCTTTCGTAGACACTATAGCCTTCCTCCACTGGCTACGCTTTGGTGACCTCTTCGGGGAAGGTTTTGTCTGTGCATTACAGAATCATGTTATTAAGACTCACAACTATCGGAGATACATTCTAAAAGATGGCACCGTCAACATCTGTCGAGCTTGTCGCCATCCGAAAAGTCACTTAGGCATGTCATCTCCGGTTGTTCGGCGCTTTCTAACCCTGAGTAACTAGCACAGGCATAACCTAGTACCTAGAATTCTTTATCAGGAGCTCGCTCTGAAATACGAAAGTGGAAAGTGCCGTATTACAGGTACTTGCCTGAAGCCGTGCTCGAAAATGATCGCACCAGGTTCTAATGGGACCGGGCCATCATCACAGATAGGATAATTCTTGAGAATAAACTTGATACAGTACTGATGGACCGGATACAGTCAAGGATATTTTTGGTCGACATTACCATTCCGTATGACGAGAACCTTGTGAAAGCCGAAACAGATAAGCAAACAAAATATCTGGACCTGGCTCACGAGGTAACCGACATATGGGGTGATCTGTCAACCGAAATTATTCCTGTAGTCGTTTCTGCAAACGAGCTAGTCCCAGTCAGCCTTTCGGGTCATCTGAGGCGGCTGGGACACCGTGACGGACCGCTCCGAGCTCAAATGCAGAAGGCGGTGCTTCTCGATACCACCCGCATCGTCCGCCGGTATCTTTCCCTTTCCCCCTAACCCTCAGCCGTTTGGTCTCCCCTGCCGAGTACTTCCATCTGGTTGGGCTTTTATTTTTTATTTTTTATGTTAGTATATTAAATATATATTTATGTATATTTATCATTTCCTCTTATATATTTATTCAGCCCAACTAGATGAGAATACTCTATGAATACACCAATAAATATAAGTATATTAAAATATAATAATAATTTGCGCAGGACAGGACAGGTGGCCTTTTTACGGGCAAGCACAGGTGCATTTTCTATTCCTTCACTCTTATTGACATTACTCCGACACGTCCAGAGAGAGATCGGGCGCAGGACAGATGGCTTTATGTGCTTTTCTAGGCACGGAGGTGAACAACGCCAGCTTCCTGATTCCGAGCTGAAACCCGAAACTGAAAATTTTTTGATGGACAAGTGGTAAAACACACATAAAAAATACAGTCGAGTAAGAGAACCTTCTCCTTTTTCTGAAGTCTGTTGTAAAACTCAAGAACTGCTTTTTTTACCCGATCTGGAATTCGAACCTAGGACCTCATGATCAGCAGAGGAGTTTATGACTAATAAACTAGCGAGGCAGCCAATAGCATATTAAAACATTGTTCGCAGAGGAGAATCATGCCAAAACAATCGCGCAACGGACGACAACTCGGCGTCGAGCAGAAGCAGTTCCATATCGTCTGAGCAAGAAAACATACGACCACCGTTGCAACGCATGGCGCCTGTGTCGCCACCGAGTTCACCACAAGGTATGTAGAAAAGATAAGCAGAGTACAAAACATTTTGTCTTATATACTGGATAACCTTTTTTACCGTCTGGAAAAAATTAGGATGTAACATGTGAACGAAGTAGGCGCCTGTGACACGTTTGAAATTTTTTTTAACTATTGCTTTGCCTTTTGCCCTTAAGCCTGTGACCCTGCAAAGTGACTAGATCAAAGATGCCTACAAATTTATTGTTTTATTGCCGATCGTGAAGTAGAGTGGATATGATTTGAGTTTCGATAGATTTTATTTATTTATTTACTTAATTCAAAATTTTTGTTTTTATTTTTTGTAAAATATCAGTGCCATAAGCTTCTACTCCGTTCACATGTTTCACCCTATTTTTCCCAGACGGTAAAAATTGTCATACAGTATATTATATTGGTCATGCTGTGATGGCGTAAGAATCAACCCATTTTCAATCGCCCCATTCTCTTACGCATAATACGTTAAGGTTTAGTAATACCCACACCTCGCATTTGGTGACGTCGGACATTGTATAAGCTTTATAGCTGAATTAAACTAGGCGGAAAGCCATCACAGCGTTTCATCATGGCAATGTGTTTGCCATGATGAAATTTTATTCGCCTATACTTTTTTGTTTATAAAACTTAATTCTATATAAAAAGAACAATGCCACTTTCTAGTCGCAGTACGTTTGCAAAAATTTTAATGTATTCTCACAACATATTTTATTTTCAGTGTTGCCAGAGAATAGCGGAAGATGTGTGCGCATTTATAAGATTCCAAAAAGCAATTTAAGCGCAGGTACTTACCAAAGACAATCCGTCTCCGCGGATCAAGTGTTGACTTCGTACTTTTCTGACAGGTACGTAACTGAATACTGTGTAAATACACGGAGGAGCTTTATAATAATTGCACATTATTCAATATTATTCTCCTATTATGACGGCATCACAGGTTTATAATGCTTATATATCATACCATCAAATCTAAGAGCCGTGGTAGCGCTCACCTTAATTATACTATATAACATAGTAGCTGATTATATATTATTTCTTTTTTTTATAAAATTCAAGTAATGTTTGTAACTTACAGTCAACACCTGATGGTAACTAGCTATTGCAGCCCATGCACAAATTAAACCAACTTCAAACAAAAAAGACTAAGATGAAATGCCTCACAGCCTGTGATTATACTGGCACTCCATTAACCTTCGGATCGGAACACAGCAGTGGAGACACTGTTATTCGGCGGACATACACCCACCCAGACGAACACGAATTTCACAGTACTCGAGCAAACTGGGTTCGATCCCCGCCCGGCACCAATGAAATTGTTAATTGCAATTTTAAGTGTTGAGTTACCACGTGCTCGGCGGTGAAGGAAAACATCGTGAGGAAACCTGCATGTCTGAGAAATAAGACAAAAAAATATTTTGAAGACATGTGAAGTTCGCCAACACGCATTGGGGCAGCACAGCGGACACTACCTTACCCTAAAACCCTCTCAGAAATAACGGGAGGACTGTGCCCAGCAGTAAGACGTATATTGACTGCAACTTTAACTTTTTTAACTTTAACATTTATGTATGTCCAATAAATTTACGGTCTCCAAAAACAAACAAAAAGAATATGTAATCAACAACGTTAAATTAATCTAATTATATCTGAATCCGGCCCTGGTATAGTGTATAGCGTAGCATTGTATTAATTTCCATCCACATTATTTTTGTTTTTTGTTTCTAGTTTCTTTACGACATCAGCTATTGCATTGTATAGTGTACCCTCGATTTAATCGATATTGTGTTTAACATTTTATCACTTATGTTTGAGTTCATCGACCTTAAACCTTGTTAAATATCATTCTTTTAAGTTTCTCATGAAGTGAAATAATGTATTTCTTTTGAGAAAATAAAGTTTCTTTAACCATAAACATGCCACGTAATATCGGCATAAAAGAATTTATTTACCCAATGCGTCCTGTGTGTAAAAAATATTTAAAAATATTTTAGAATGTATGTAGTCATATAGTTTAGTGGTATTTTTTATTTATATAGTCTATATCATTTGGTGATACTACAATTTCTATTCGTACAGAATCATATTACCTACAGTAAAAATCGCTTATCTAAGCATTGATATATGGCATTGGTGGTGAATTCAAACTGAAGTTTAAGATTTTAAGGTCGCTTAAATTAATAAATATATGATATTTTTTCAGACCAAATAGCATCAAACAAAGATTAGCAGACCTGAGACTGGACAGCAAATCCAGAGGCGGAGGCGAAGAGGACACTTTGTAAACTAAGCACACTTTGTAGCCTGAGATACCATGTGGATTTTGTGGATGTGTACTCTTTCATTTTTGACAAATGTTGGTAGTAATGAAAGACTGTAGGTAAAACTGATAAGAAATATCTCTTATTACTTCGTTGCATTCGCATATCTTTTTGCCTGTAATTACAAATATACAAGAAGTCGTAATCACCAACACGATACTTCCTTCTTATAAAAACATAATCAGACAACTATTTTATAAGGACATCTAACAATCAAATTATACTTACATACTTTGAAATACTTATTTTTGGCTCCTTAAATCATCAATTTGCATAATAACTAGTATTTAAAAAAACAGTTTTCAGAAATTGATTTATATAGTTTAATCTGTATACTCTGAGTCAGGCAATCGGTAGTGGAAGTGTTCTTTCATTAAAAAAATGTTTTTATATTCGAATTTCCCCAGCCAGCTTCTGGCCGCCTAAGAATTAGAGAAACACACAGTTGAGCTTCTAAAACGTTGTCAGCTTGTTCATCAAAAATTATAAAGAAAAAGAATAGCTACATATATTAGCTGTATCTCTACTTAAACTTATCTTTATATACATGTCCATGTGTGTGACTGAACTCCTTCTCAACGACTGGACCGGTTTTGGTAAAATTTTGTGTGGGTGATTAAGTTGATTCTAAAATCTAGATCTTCGTCGTCGTCGTCGTCGTTCGTCGTTGATCTAGAAATCACCCGTGTGAAGCCGGGGTAGATCGTTAGTATCTTACAAAACATTATTTTCAGTGTGTATTGTACTAGAAATAATAAAATTGTATTTCATTTTTAACTCATGTATTATGCAGGCGTTTAGTGTACATAAATTACACATAGACAAACACAAGACCGAAAATAATTATTTTTACTTGTAAAAGCCAAATTCTTACTCAGTACTCAAGCGAACCGTCAAACCCACTAGGTCAAACCACGGATTAAATTTTACCTAGTATTTTAAGCTTGTAAAGCTTGCAAGTGTTTGTCTGATTTTACAATTAATCGGAATAAAACAGTTTAGTAGCTTAAGGTTATATGAGTTAAATGTGATTGACATAGGTGATGAAAATTAAGCGAAGACATATTTAATATGTAACTATTTAATGTATTCTAGTTATATATTGTAGTACTTAATGTAAGATTGTGTTATAAAAATTGATTTGTTAACATTTTAATCGAATAAGAATTTATACGCTCGTTTTCAGCATTAAATGCGTGAATAAAATTTCTTAGATTATTTATACACATATTAGAATGCAGAACTAACAAAATAATATATATAAAATAACTAAAACTCATCAATTTCGGTTTTTTTACTAAATGGTATTTATATTCAAATATTGATTTATATATTTTCATATTGGATATTGGAGCTTTCCTCTAGGATCCACATCTTAAATGAATGCTTCCAATTTACGTGTCATAGACTTATTAATTTAATATTACTTCCTTACCCTAGAGTCCTTCTTACAAGATGACTTCGAAGTCGCAATCAAGTTGATCCAATCTCACATACTTTTAAATGGTCAATGAAATTTTCTTTAAGGTATGTTCCTCAAGTTGCAAAACAAGTATTTAATTGATATTCAACTGAAGTATCGTAATAAAATTATCCTTTATACTTAGTAATGGCTTTATTTTATAGTTAAGTCTATAAGCCTGCATTTATAATAATTGAAATACGTGGTTTAAATTTAGTCATTTTAACTGTATGTGTTAAATACCTATGCACAAATTTGATGCTCAAATCTTTAAATACCTTAAAAAAACTCTGTATTAAACTAAAATTGATAATACTATTGAGAGTATTTGTGAGAGATTTATAATAGTAAGAATATTTAAAATAAATTGATCATGTTAAGAAATAGTACCTGATAATCGAATGTTTGAACCAAAGATATTAATGATAAAATACATAACTTTGTACAATTATTATAAGAATATTATCTCTTAATAGATAAACGCTGATTAAAATAATGAAACTAAGATATTTTATTATGCACAATTAGTTAAAAATAAAAAAACAAACCTATTACCTATTGAAACAATAACTTGATACTTATGTAACTTTTAAATGATATTAAATCATCATTCTCTAAACCATTTCCCATTATCTGGGGTCGGCACAGTAAATCTTCTTGTTCCATTCCTCTCTATCAGCCGTCATTTCCATACTTACTCCTTTCATTCTCATATCACTCTTCACACAATCGATCCATCTTTTATTCGGCCTTCCTCTGCCCGTGTGTCCCTCCACATTCATATTCAACACTCGTTTTGTGACATGACTTTCATCCCTCCGCATCACATGCCCAAACCATGCCAATCTGCTTCTTCTCACCTTTTCTACCACTGGCGCTACTTTCAGGCTTCCTCTTATATACTCATTCCTTATCTTATCCATCCTTGTCACACCACACATCCATCGTAACATTCTCATTTCATTCGCATGCAGTCTATTTTCATCCTTCTTCTTGACGGCCCAGCATTCACTTCCATACATGACGACAGGTCGGATGATCGATTTGTAAATTTTCCACTTCAGCCTTATTGGCATTCGGGGATCGCACGTTGTGGCTGTGACCTGTCGCCATTTCATCCACCCTGCGTTAATCCTATGCTGCACAGCTCTATCTATTCCGCCGTCGCCTTGAATGAGGGAACCGAGGTACTTGAATTCTGAGCAGGTAGGCAGTATAGCGCCATCCAACGACATGGGTACAGGACTGGAAAGACCGCCGAAATCACAGCACAGATATTCGGTTTTGGATCTGCTGATCTTCAAGCCAACACTTTCCAGCCTCTGTTGCCACCCCGTCAGTCTGCTCTGTACCTCGATGCCTTCTTCCCCGACAAGCACGATGTCATCGGCAAAGAGCATGCACCAGGGTGCCTCATCCTGCAGGTCCGACGTCAAAGCGTCCATAATCAGTAGGAAGAGGTAAGGGCTCAATGCCGACCCTTGGTGCAGCCCTACCGCCACATCGATACTGCCCGTAGTTCCCGCGGCAGATCGTACACATGTACGGGATGCTCTGTACATAGCACGGACTAACCTCACATACTTCCCAGGCATACCTTTCATCTTTAACGCCCACCACAAAACCTCACGGGGAACCCGATCGTACGCCTTTTTCAAGGTCGACAAAAACCATGTGCAGATTTTTATGCACGCGCTTGTACTTTTCGCACAATTGGCGTAATGCGAAAATGGCATCTGTCGTACCTCGACCGGGCATGAATCCGAACTGGTTTTGTGTTATCTCACACTCTTCTCTCATTCTTTTCTCTATTATTCTTTCCCAGACTTTCATCGTATGTGACATGAGTTTTATTCCCCCGGTAACTGCTGCAGTTTTGAACGTCTCCTTTGTTTTTAAAAATGGGGACCAGTATACTACTGCACCATTCCTCAGGTATTTGTTCTTCCTGCAACAATTTACCGAAAAATAAACTCAACCACTTCCATCCATCCGCACTCAGCAACTTCCACACTTCTACTGGTATTCCATCTGGGCCGACCGCCTTCCCATTCTTCATATTCCTAACAGCCATTTTTACTTCTTCCACACTAATTTCTCTCACTAAGCCCATATTCACTGGTGGGTTTTCAAGCATACCATTCAATTCATTCTCCTCATTCATCAATTTCTCAAAATACTCCTTCCATCGCTTCTTTATACTTTCATCGTCAGTCAAAATCCTTCCAGAATCATCTTTTATATATTTTACATGTGAAACATCTCTTCCATTCCTTTCTCTCGCTTTTGCAATTTGAAAAAGTCGTTTTTGACCTTCGGGGCTTTCAAGGGACCGATATAATTTATCTTGCGCCTCTGCCCTACAAATAGCAACTTCCTTCTTTGCTCTCTTCTTACATTCTTTATACGCCCCTCTCTTACTTTCTTTTTTGGAATCATTCTGGTCTTCTACGCTCTGCCATTCTTTAAAGGCATTTTTCTTTTCTCTCAAAACTTCTCTAATACTTTCACTTTTTAAATGATATTAAATGTCGATTAAAATTCTTCAAACGATTGAAATTAACACTAACATAGAATTAAGGCTACCTTTATATATATGTATTTAAGCAAACGAAAGAAATTCTAAGTTAGGTATAATATATTACGCCGACCCTAAATTCATGTTACCACCAAAGAGTTCTCAAGTCACAGTCACCGTACACGGTAGTTAAGGTACACGACCTGCTAATGAGACATGAGGGTTGTTAAATGACCATCAGGTGACTTGGCAATTTTGGGTGATTGACTATATCGCAGTGACTGTAATGATGATTTTTTAAGCCACTGTTAGGCGCATGACCTGTCCTGTTAAATTTATTAATGAGTGAAGTAAGTTCCACTCCTGGGCACAGGCCTACTCTGATTACTGAGAGGCTTTTTAGGGCAAGGAAATGTCCACCGCGTTGCCCCAATGCATGTTGGCGGACTTCACATGACTTCGAAATATTTTTTTTTCTTATTTCTCAGACATGCAAGTTTCCTTGACGTTCTCCGCCGAGCACATGTTATATTAAATATTAATTACATTAAAATGTCCCCAATTTAAATATTCTATCGTAATAAGATTATATGAATTAGTCAAATACTTTTTAACGAGATATAGACAAAAAGTGATCTATAAATAAATTTCATAACACTTGAAAAGAAATGGGATAAAGATGAATATTTTCTCGTTAATCAGACACAAAAAAATATGTGCCATCCAATTATTCAGTTACCTTTCTAGTGTTAATTAAAATACCTATGATACGTTTGCGATGCAAGAGAATTGAAATGTTACTTAAGCGGTTTTCTTACCTTCTTTGTATATAGTAATTACAGTTGTATTAGAAGTAGTTTTGTGTCATGGATTAGAAATATTTGATGTTTTCGTAGGAAATTATTGGAACGTCTAGATGTTGTGAACAATTAATATATAAACGTACTTAAGAAAGAACCAAACTGGAAATAGTAACCAAACCAC